GGATGCAGGACCGAAACACCAGCTCCATCACGTTGACCTGGACAGCTCCCCAGGGCCCAGAACAACCACCCTACACCTACTGGGTCCAGTGGTTAAGGGAAGACATCATGGGTGAAACCCAAAACACCTCAGATACCAACATCACAGTGAAGGAACTGGAAGCTGGGACCTTGTACACCTTCACAGTGTGGGCTGAGAGGAATGGTGCCAACAGTACAGAAGTGGCAGTTGTTGCATCTACAGGTGAGACATCCTAAGTCTTTTACTTGCACTTCTGGGGAAGACAGAAAGGTCACTGACACTGTGGTACCGTACCTGAAAAATAAAGCACAGTTATCACAGGGCCACTGAACCTGAGCCCCATTGCTGGAGGGTTTCTCTTCAGATACAATGATTGCATAGAGCGAAGGGTGTCTCCCCTTTGTGCTAGATGCTAGGGGACTGGGTGACATGGAAACCTTGACTTTCTGTTCCTTCTGCCAGTCCCCAACACAGTGACCAGTCTCAGGAGGCAGGACCAAAACACCAGCTCCATCACGTTGACCTGGACAGCTCCCCAGGGCCCAGAACAACCACCCTACACCTACTGGGTCCAGTGGTTAAGGGAGGACTTCATGGGTGGAACCCAAAACACCTCAGATACCAACATCACAGTGAAGGAACTGGAAGCTGGGACCTTGTACAACTTCACTGTCTGGGCTGAAAGGAATGGTGCCAACAGTACAGAAATGGCAATTGTTGCATCTACAGGTGAGACATCCTAAGTCTTTTACTTGCACTTCTGGGAAGGCCAAAAGGGGCTCATTGGAGCCTTGATATTGTACCTGGAAAATAGACAATGAACAGGAATTCAAGACCAGTGGTGTCACTTGTGCAGTGTGGGGAGTGAGGATCCCAGTCTGTGACATTGTCAGAGAGGGTGACCAAAATGACTCCAGTGTTAGTGGCACCATCAGGGTAGAGAAAATGAAGAAAGATGATGTAGGGGACTTAGGTCTCAGGGATGAGAAGACCAAGGATCTCCTGGTCCTACCAATCATTAATACCCAGACTTTTGTTCTGTGGTACAACCCTCCTTAGGGACTAGAGCCATCAGTTGATGGAGGCATCTCTGGTTTTGCTTGAGAGTGGTGGGCAGGCTGAGGAATGAGGTCACTGAGAATCCCTTAACCTTCTAATCCTTACCTCTTAGTTCCCAATGAGGCCACAGATCTGCGGAACGTAACTCAGACCAGCAACTCAGTCACTTTGCGTTGGATGCCCCCCACAGACCCTTACTCTTCACACTACATATATTGGGTCCAGTGGGCCAGTGGAGGACAGCCCCAGAGGGAGAAAGATCTCCAAAGAGATGAGGTCAACCAGACAGGCAAGACCAATGAGACTTGGTACATAGTGAAGGCCCTCTCACCCGGGACTGTGTACAACTTCAGCATATGGGTGGAGATGAACAATGTATCCAGTTCCACACAGAGCCTCCTTGCATCCACAGGTGAGATGGGCCTTATACGTATCTAGTGGTCTGAGCTTACTTAGGTCAGACTTTCAGGGCACTGAGAAGCGAATGGACTACATATCCCATCAGGCCATGGTGTGATGACCTGATAAGTTGCAATGGCACACAGAGTCCAAGGACTCGCAGGAGTTGTCGTTTGAGTGGCGTTGTTGGAGTTGAAGGGAGACTAGAAAAAGAAGAAAGATAAGGGGTTTTGGTTTTGGGGGAGGACTGGATAGGGTAGTTCTTAGAGAATTGTTGTGACACATGGGTGGGAGGTCACACAAGATGGCTCCTCACTGACTCTTTTCACTTCCTTCACCCAGCTCCTGACCCCGTTACCATCACATCCTGTGTCAGCACTTCAGGTGGTTATGGGGTCATCCTGACCTGGTCCTGCCCCTCAGGAGGCTACGAGGTCTTCGTGTTGGAGGTGGGCGGGCAGCAGGACTTCCATGACAGGTCCTCGTGTGGGAGGAAAATGTCCATATCGGGTCTCCAGCCAGCTCAGTCCTATCAGGCCACAGTCACCACGGTGTGGGATGGAATGAGGGCATCCCCTGCCTCCATAACCTGCTACACGGAGAACGCAGGTGAGGAAGTCCCATGAGACCTACGATTGGGAAGGGAGCCTCCCTGGGTCCCACCAAACTTGCTGAGAAGGGAGTCTCACCCCAGCTATGGGGCTCTTACACTGTCTTTTATTTCTTGTTTGTTTGTTTGAAACCAGCTTTATTGAGACCGAGTCCACATAGTTTACAATTTGAAACTATCACCAACCTACTTCAGAATATTTTTATCATTCTCAAAGACATTTTGCCTCCCTGAACTGTCACCTCCTAATTTCCGCATTCTCTCCCAACCCCTAAACCTGTTGTCCCTAGAGTCACTTTACAGCTCACAACAACCCCATGAGTGTCATAGTAGAACTCTGCTCCCAGCCCTATGCAACCACTAAGCTACTTTCTGTCTCTGTGGATGACCTATTCTGGACCCTTCATATCCATGGAGTCACACAATGTGTGACCCTTTGTGTGTGACTTCTTCATTTAGCATAATGCTTTCAAGGATGGTCCATGTTGTAGCTTGTGTCACCCTCCCTTCTCTCTCATGGCTGAATAACGTACCATTCTATGGCTGTACAAGTAGCCCTTGACTTACGATAGAGATCCACTCTGATGACTGCGTTGTAAGGTGGTTCTGAGGTAAGTCAAACACCTCATTGTTGTCAGTCTTCGCTGTTACTGCATTTTATTATCAGTATCTTTATAAATCTGACCTCAGTTTGTTGTTGGGGGTTGGAAACATCTGCGAGTGGACATCTGAGAATGACTACACCAGAAAACTATCCACTGACACACTGTGTGTCGTATGTGTCACTAGCGGTAGGATGTACAAAAAAGGAAGAGGTTAGTCATAACTTGTCATATTTTGTCTTGATGAATATGGGATAAATCAAGGACTACCTGTATTACATTTTATTTATCTGTTTGCCAGTTAATGGGTATTTGGGTTGTTTTCACTTTTTGGCTATTAAGAATAATGCTGTTAGGAACATTTGTGTGTAGGCTTTTCAGTATATACCTATGAGCAGAATTGCTAGGTTGTATGGTCATTGCTCTGGTGGTGCAGTGCCTAAGGCATTTGACTGCTAACTGGAAGGTTGGAGGTTCTAACCCACCAGCCATTCCATGGAAGGAAGATGGGACAATCTACTTCCATAAAGATTTACCGCCTTGGAAATCCAAGGGGGTCGTTATGAATTGGAATCAACTTGATGACAGTGGGTTTTTTTGTTTTGTTTTGCTTTTTGTTATAGTAACTGTTTAACCATTTGAAGAGTTGCTAAATTTTGTTTCAAAGTGATTGCCCATTTTATACTCAGCAATGGGATACTTGAAGAAAACTGAGTTTCACAGCCGGGAGGATTCTGACCATGTATCATGGCCATGGCTGGAAACCTCACTGGGCTCCAATTCTTGGGACAATCCTTTCTGTCCTAGGAATCAAGTCCTCTTAGAAGATTAGGTCTCCAGCCTGTGACACTTGACTTTAAATAACAGTTTTATTGTGGAGTATATATCATATTGCCTTCATGAACAGCTAAGATCAAAAGAACTGGATGGTGCCCGGCAACCATTATTAAGCCTTTTGATCAAAGATTCTATAGAAGAATTCTTATCGAAAGGGGGAAAATGCCAAACTGAATTTCAAATTCCCATGGAATTCAGACTTTCTGGAGACACGGATGTTGGATTAACCTTTGAAACTATTGCCCCGAGATCACCTTTAAACCTTAAACCAAAAGTATCCCCTGAAATCTTCTTAAAACCAAACTCTAGTTTAGAGTAACTAGTAAAGACTGTGCTTTTTTAAGAACTATCTACAGAGGGGTCAAACTGACTACAGCAACTTGAAAGATTAGATAGGAAACTTAGGGGGCAGTGAGTTTATGTTCAAGAGGGAGGAATCATTTGGAAAAAGAGGATGAGGATGGTTGCATAATTTGAAGAATGAAGTCAATGTCACTAAATTGTCCATGTAGAAGGTGTTTAATTGTATGTTCTGCTATACATATTCTCAACAATAAAAGTAAATTAAAGAACAGATATGTATATAACACAAAATTGGCCACTTCAGCCATTTTTAAGTATATACAGTTTGTTGTTGTGTTGTTGTTGTTGTTATGTGCCATCGAGTTGGCCCGACTCACAGCGATCCCTCCTTGGGTTGCCGAGGCAGTATCACTACGGAAGTAGATTTCCCAACCTTCCTTCTGAGGAGTGGCTGATGGGTTTGAACCACCAGCCTTCTGGTTAGCAGTCAAGTGCCTTAGGCACTATGCTACCAGAGCTCCTAAGTATACAGCTTGTTGTTGTTGTTGTTATTTGCCATCGAGTCGGCCCCGACTCATAGCAACCCCTCCTTGGGTTTCCGAGGCAGTATCATTACGGAAGTAGGATTGCCCAATCTTCCTTCTGAGGAGTGGCTGGTGGATTTGAACCACCAGCCTTCTGGTGAGCAGTCAAGTGCCTTAGGCACCATACTACCAGAACTCCTAGATTAGATATATATATAGAGAGATTGATCAGCTGCTACTACTAGTTGTTGCCATGGAGTCAGCTTATAGTCGTGGCGACCACATCTCTTTCACAGTAGACATGCACTCCAAGGAGTCTTCAATGGCTTTGATATTTCAGACATAAATTGCCAGGCCCTTCTTCCAAGGTGCTTCAGGAAGGATTTGAACTTCTAACCTTTCCGTTAGTAGCTGTCTCAGCTCTCCACAGCTACTGCAACAGAAATATCACACGGGAGTGGCTTTGACAAAAAGAACTTTATTTGCTCACAGTTTAGGAGGCTCAGGGTCCAAATTCAGGCTTCTGGCTCCAGAGGAAGGCTTTTGCTCCCTGTTGGCTCTGGAGGAAGGTCCGTGTCCTCTAAGCTTCCATTCCTGGGCCATCTTCCTGTGGCTTGGCATACCTCTCCCCCACCTCTGCTTCTTGCTTGCTTGTTTAATCTCTTTTATATCTCAGAACAGATTGACTCAAGACACGCCCTCCACTAACACTGTCTCTTTAATGCAACAAAGACAACCATTTCCAAATGGGATGGGAACCACAGGCATCGAGGTTAGAACTGACAACACTTATTGGTGGGGGCAACATAATTCAACCCATAACAGAAGCAAAGCACTTAAATAGTTATACCATCCAGGGAGTCGCTCTCTCTCTCTCTCCACACACACACACATACACACACACACAACTCAACAACCAATGACATACACACACATATACATATATGTATATATACAAGTTATAACCAGAAGAATCAAGCTCTGCCATTGAGTCAATTCTGACTCATAACGACCCCCATTGTGTGTCCAAGACTAAATCTTTATGGAAGTAGATCACCCCATCTTCCTTCCACAGAGTGGCTGGTGGGTTTGGAACTGCTGACCTTCTGGTTAGCAGCCAAATGTCTTATCCACTACACCACCAGAGCTCCTTACAAGTTATACGTACACGTATATATGTGTGTGCATGGCACGTGGATATATACAACAAAACCTGTGAGAGCTGGAATTCAATTGATGGCCTTGTTTTTCCAGGTCTTACAAGTTTTCACCTATGACAGGGTACAGTCTTACCTCTATTCTATCTCCCTTTTAGTGGAAAATATTTATGTTTTCCTTCTCTGACAGGTTTCTGTTTTACACACACACACACACACACATATAACATACTGACCTACTGCCATAGAGTTGATTCTGACCCACAGCACCCCTAGAGGACAGAGTGGAATTGCCACACAGGGTTTCCAAGGCTGTCAGTCTTTAGAGAAGCCAACTGCCTCATCCTGCCCCTACAGAGCAGCTAGTAGATTCAAACAGCTGATCTTTGGATTGGCAGGTGAATGCCTTAACCACTATGTCACCAAGGCTCCTTTGTTTTACATAAGAGAGAGAGAGAGAAAGAATACTGATTTTATTTTAAGGAATTGGCTCATGTGACTGTGGGCCTGGCAAGTCCCAAATCCAGGGCAGGCAGGAGGCAGAAACACCAGCTGGGTTTCTACGTGCGAGTTCTGAGGCAGAATCCTTCTCTCAGAAAGTTCAGTGTTTGCTCTGAGGTCCTTCGACTGTTTGGACCAGGCCCACCCACCTTGTCCAGGCTCATCTCCTTCACTTGGCTGTACATCAATGCCATCTGCAAAATACCTTCACAGCAACATCTGGTCTAGTGTTGGACCACACAGTCTGGCACCATAGCCTGGCCAAGCTGATGCGTAAAATGAAACCTCACACACTCTCATCACAGCTTTGGCTGAGGGTGGCTGGGTCATGGACTCTAACAGCTCCCAATCCCCTCTGCCCCCAGGGGTCATTGCTGGTGCCATTGTGGGAGTCCTCTTGTTTCTCGTCCTGGTGGGCTTGCTGGTTTTCTTCCTAAAGAAGAGGTGAGGCTCAGGGCAGGACTGACCACTTGGGGCTGGAGCTGGGGCTGGCGCTTGGGCTGGGGGAAGAAGGATGAGGACCTGGTTCCAAGTCTTGGTTCCTGAGCCTCTCACCTCAATGTCCTTTTCCCAGGAAAAAGAAACAGGAGGATCTAGAACACAGGAATCTGTTGAGGTGAGCCAAGATTTGGGGAAGTGTGTTAAATTCCTGGAGTGGTACAAAAGGTTAAGTGCTTAGCTTCTAGGTGAAAGGCGTGTGGTTCTAATACACCAAGCTGTGCCTGAGAAGGAAGTCCTGGCAATCCAATTCCAAAAGATCACAGCCACCGAAGCTTTTATGTCTACCTTGACACACATGGGGTAGCCATGGGTCGGAGTCCACCCCACGGCTTTGGTTTTGTTGTGAGTTTTTGGGTTTTATTCAATACCCATGGCCGCCTTAACAAAATACCACTATCTATGGATTGAAAACAACAGAAATTTATTGTCTAGCAGTTGTGCAGGCTGGAAGTTCCTACTCCAGCATGACCTCAAGTTAATTTAACCAATAGCAGCTTGAGCTACAGGGAGGCAACCACTGACTGGCAGCTCCTGAGGAGGTGGGAGGAGCCAG